GTATGTTTAGAAGAGATGAGGTTTCACCGTGTTAGGCAGGATGGTCTCGATCTCCTGACCTCGTGATCCGCCGGCCTCGGCCTCCCAACGTGCTGGAATTACAGGCATGAGCCACCATGCCTGGCTCAAGAAATACATTTTTTTTTTTCATTAACCAGTTTTTCTAGCTTAAACGTCACTCATAACACATTTTCTTCTATTCAACCCCTTCTGCAGAAATGACTTGCTAATGGTCTGTCGCCAGTTGAATATGGAAGAGTCTGTGGCTGAGATCATGAACCAGCTGGGAGCAGATGAAAATGGAAAGATTTCCTTCCAGGATTTCACAAGATGCCGCATGCAGCTCGTTCGAGAAATTAGGAAGGAGGAAGTAGATCTTTCTGCAAAGTCAGACAACTCCTGGACAAAGAAGCTGAGGGATAGAATTGCTTCCTGGCCCACGAGCAGTGACAACAGTTTGGGTAGGTATAACCAGGTGGCAGTTTTATGGCACTCCACTGGCCTTGCCTGTGATCTCTCTAAATGAGAGTAGCCTCCCCAACCTGGGGCCAGCTCATACTGAGGCTGTCCTCCTGGCCACACGTTCCCTGGGGGAGTGCTCGCTGTTTCCCCCAGTTCTGTCTGATGGCTTCACACTTCCCGGCTCGCTGCTTTCTTTATTTTGCTTTTTCCATTTTCCAAGTTTAATAATGCATTCAAGTAGCTATTACGGAAGAAGGGCAAATGCACAAGACAGTAACTGCATCAGCAAATCTCAGAAACTCTTTGGGGAAGAAGTTTCAAGGTTACATACAGAGGCTTTTAAAAGCAATTTTTAAAAATTTAATGTTAAAAATGTTTTCTATAAAGATAGTTTTTCTATTCATAAGTTTATATTTGTTACTGCAAGATAAGCAGTCGCAAAGAAAGTTCTTAATACTGTTGATAATTATTGAAATTGGGTGATGGGAACATGAGATTTCTCGTATTTATTTTTGAATACTCAGTTATACATATTTTTTAGTATGTTCGAGATTTTACATAATAAAAAGTTAAAAAGGAAAGAAAGGAGACATCTTAAAGGGTAGCCTTAACAAAGAGGCAGAAGATAGTATCTGAATTTTCAGGGGTTTTTTTTTCCTTGAAAATGTGTCTTTGATCTTTGTTTCTCTGCTAGGTAGATCTAGTGGCAAGAAGTAAAGTATCATGCTAGTTGTCCATCATTTATTTTATGTTTTTTATATATATATATATACACACACACACACACACACACGAGCATGGATAATTGTATAGTGCCACATACACACACATCTTTAAACAATGCTTCTGGCAGTGAAATCATTTGCGCCATTATTATTGAGTAATGGAAACAATAAAAATGTCCACATATACTCCATGCCTTGCTACCTTCATAGATTCTACTTTAGCAGCAAATCAGATGTCTGGCAATGCATGTGCTCTTAACATAATATGTAGAAATAATATTTAAATAACAACTTTCTAAGTATTCAAGTAACATATGTTCATTATAGAAAAACAAGGGGAAAAAAGGCAAGCAGAAGAAAATAAAAGTCACCCTAATCCTACCACCTGGAAATAATAACTACTGCCCACATTTGATATACTTACTTCTGGAATCTCTTCCTCTCTCTGTCTCTCATCATGCGTGTGATTTGTGTTTTACTAGTTTTTTTCACATATCTTCTGTATATTTTGTATCTTGCAGTTTTTCTTTTGCATTTTCTTCATGCTTTTAAATGGTATTTGAAAGCATGATTTGTAAGTTTGCATGACACAAAATAGACACTCAGTAAATATTTATTAAATGATGAAATGAAGGAATTTTTTCTGCTAAGCTGTATTTTCAGATTTTTCTGCTAAGAACATGGATTTCTTCTATAAACACATAAGTGTACACACATACATATTTGAAGGGTTAAGTACATTGTGGAACACCCCAACCAATAATTGCATACTATATAGCATTAAAATGATGTATCAATATGTATCAAAATATGTATACAGAAGGAAATTGTTTTGTGAAAAAAAATTGTTTGTCAATGTGTACTAGATATTTATGAAAATCCTAAAAGAAACTGGTTTGAAAGAATTGCTGCACACATCTAATTGGTTTGACTAGCTTGGAAGACTGTCCTGACCAGAGAAAGGATTGAAAAATAATACCCTTTCATCCTTTTAGATAACCTTATACCCTTGGGAAAAGAGGTGGTAACTGACAGGAGGTGATTCATAAAACTTATCCTGAACTGAGGAAGTGCTAGCGGCTATGAAACCTCCTACCACTTTCTCCTGGTAGTTAAGAGTTCAGAGTCAGACTATTTGATTGAGAATCCTGTTTCGTCGCTTACTGTCTACATGACACTAGACAAATTATTTAACCTCTCTGTGTCTCAGTTTCCTCAAGTGTAAAATTGGGGCAGTTATTGCTATTTGGGGGAATAAAGGAGTTAATATATGTGTAAAGTCCATAAAGCAATGCCCAGCATATAATCAGTAAATGCGTGTTAAACTAATATTATTATTATTATTACCACCCAGTTTTAAGTCCTGGGGATTTGGAAAACAACTCCCTATTCAATCTGATGTAAATCAAATACACCTAAAAATTGACACTAATTATGCTGGGCACCATGGCTCACACCTGTAATCCCAGCACTTTAGGAGGCTGAGGCGGGAGGATCACTTGAGGTCAAGAGTTTGAAACTAGCCTGGGCAACATACAAAAAATTTAAAAGTTAGCCAGGTGCGGTGGTGCATGCCTGTTGTCTTAGCTACTTACAAGGCTGATATGGAGGGGTTACCTGAGCCCAAGAGTTAGAGGTTGCAGTGAGCTATGATTACACCACTGCACTCCAGCCTGGGTGATAGAGCAAGACCCTGTATCCAAAAAAAAAAAAAAAAGGACAATAACTAAACAAACATATAGATATACATGTTCAATTAGTCCTTCTCTTTTCTATACTATTAATCTCTCCTCTCCTTCTGACTCTATTTAGGTAAACTCCAGGATCTCCCTTCTGGAGGTGGAGGGAAGCCCTCTCTTGACTTTGTGTTCCCCTTAGTACTGCCCTATTTCTCTGACCCTTCCTTCAGTGTACTCTTACCGTCTTCAGTCCTCACCACTCCGCTGGCCCTGCTCTTGCTGCCTTCATGTTGGCCAATCCAAAGATTCCTTTTCTGCCCACATCTAAATCTTTGGAATCTGACCCAGCTAACCACTCCTTCATGCTAGCTATACTTTATTCTCTTCGACTTCTTGACACCATGTTCTCCTGTTTACCGTTTTAGCTTCCCTTTCTCAGCCTATACTACTTCCAAATTTTGAGGTGCCTTGGGGTTACATTCTGTCCTTAGATGATTTCATGTGGTCCCATGTGTTTGTTTATTTATTTATTTATTTATTTGAGTCAGGATCTCACTCTGTCACCCAGGCTGGAGTGCAGTGGTGCAATCATGGCTCACTACAGCCTCAACCTCCTGGGCTCGAGTGATCCTCCTGCCTCAGTCTCCCAAGTAGCTGGAACTACAGGCATACGCCACCAGGCCCAGCTAATATTTTGTATTTTTTTGTGGAGATGGGGTTTCGCTGTGTTGTCCAGGATGGTCTCAACTCTTGGACTCAAGCCATCTTCCTGCCTTAGCCTCCCAGAGTGCTGAGATCACAGGCAAGCGCCACCATGCTGAGCTTGGTCCCTATGGCTTTAAATACTAGTTTTGTACCAGTAACTCCCAAATATAATTACATATATA